TCACTAGGGACACCCCAAGAATTACCAAACAAAATGCAAACAAGACCTACAACTACCTATCTACTTGTAGTAAAATATTACTTTACTTACATATACATGGGCTGCAAGGTGCAAGGTTCGCACTGTTGCCTCGCAGCAGGAAGGTTGCCGGTTCGCGTCCCGGTGAGGACACCTGGGATCTTTCTGCGTGGAGTCTCCATGTTCTCCTCGTGTAGCGTGGGTTCTCTTCAGGTTCTCAGTTGGGATAGACTCCAGCCCCCTGTGACCCTAGTGAGGATGAAGCGGTGCATAGATAATGGATGGATGACATGTATATCATATTTTTGACAGTAAGGTTTGCTAAAAATGACCAGCATGAGACAATACCCTTCCCAACTAGTGTAGATAATAAAGATGATGGTGTGTTGTGAACACCATCATCTTTCCCATTTAAATTAATCATTGACTAAAATACTGCAGAAAAGGATTAAACAGTCTCCTGCAGCATATTTACAGATGTGTCCATCTTGTTTATAATCTATAGATGTATAATGTCTCCCTGCAGCCTGCAACTGCACAAAACAGTTGTAATTACTGTTAAATCTAAGACCTTTTATTAGCTTCTGAGGTCTTTGTTTCAGGAAAGTGACTCCAGTGCTGTAAAAAAAAATCAACACTACTACAGATACTCTGACCTCCTTTGATACAGGCGCATGCTGAATATGTATCACAACAACACAACTGTTCTTCTCTGGTTTACAGTATGTGTGGCAATAACCTGGGTCCAGAGGGGGTTTTGGAGCTGTGGAACGCTCTGGAGCACAACAACACTGTGGAAGAACTTTATCTGGACATCACCGGCATCACAGAGAGAGGAACAGAAAACATTGTCAACTGCCTCAGCAAAAACACCTCCCTCAAGACACTGACGTAAGACTACAGCACAAGGCCAAGTCTGCTCAGTGTTCTGAGTGTTACAACAGTGCCATCTAGTGTGAGCTACTGCCCTAACCAGCTATTTTTTTCCTTCCTCAGCATCGTTGGGAATGACATTGGAGAGACGGGGAGGAGGAGGCTGAGGGAGCTGGAACAACGTAGGCCAGGACTCAGGATTATTGCAAACTTTGTGGATGACCTCGGGTTACTTCAGGCCTACCTGGACTGGGTGGAGGAGATCCAGGCCGACAGAGACCAGATGGACTCGGTGAAGAATGCGGACGCCCTGCAGTCTGTGCTGAAGGGACTCCGGGTGGCGGGAGGAAAGGTGGAGAAAAGAGAGAACGCAGAGAAAGCTGAGGAGCTGCAGGCAAAGATCACGGAGCTGCTGAGGTCTCCTACAGACCTGATGGGAGGAGGGCGACAGTAACCTTCACATCAACCACGATGATGCGCTTAGAGATCCAGGAGGGGCGGCAACAGCTCAAATAACAGACGTAACATTTGTTAATCTCTTGATAGTTAGTGACTATAAACTGATGACATGTTTTTGAAAATTACAAAGCATTGTTTCTTCTTGGGGTGTCAGAGAACCTGGATCCAAATCATTGTTAACTTCAATTTTCTTTTAGTCCTGGGGTCTCCAATGCAGGTCCTCGAGAGCCACAGTCCTGCATGTTTGAGATGTTTACCTCTTCCAACACACCTGATTCAGATGATCAGCTCATCATCAAGCTCTGCAGAAGCCTGATAACGATCCTGATCATTTGAAACATGCTGGACTGTGGCTCTCGAAGACCAGGATTGGAGACCCCTGTTTTAGTCTTTGATTGTGACAACACTCTTTATGCAGAAATTGCACTATGTGGAGTAACAGTTATACCAAATGACTTTTTGACAAACCAGTGTAATATGTCCAATTGTTCATGCAAACCCTATGTACCATGTAAACCTGAAATGTTCCCTCAATCTGTTTAACAATCACTTTTTTCTTATTTACAAATTGGGTTTAGATAAGGTCTCAAAAGAAGAAAAAATGATTGAATAATGTAACTATTATTAAACTGAAATAAAGCAAAATTTCTAACACATTTTGCAAGTTGAAAATTTGAAATTTCATTTTTTATTCTATGCTAAAAGAAGTCTGCAATAGATTTTTTTTTTACCTTCTCTAATGAAAATTGTCTTTAAAAAACTGCTATTTTGACGAAGATGACTGCATATGTGTCTGTTCTTTGACGTATGAAAACATCAGAGCCTGTTATTGAACACTATGAGCAGTAGATGACTGCAGATTTAATGAGATCATACTAGGTGCAAACTCTTAAAAGGAAAATGTGCCGCAAAGATATCTGCTCTACGTTCTATTTTATGTGTATCTGATATTCAACTATTGCAGATCTTTACATAAAATTGAACAGAAATTAGTAGCTATTGGTACGGCCACTTTAAAACCTCGGCTCAGAGCAAGCGAAAATAAATCAGGTTTTATTACAAATCTCCGGCCTCCACTTCAGAAAGAGCAAACACTTGAAACAAGGCGAGGGTGCTGGCGTGGCGGTGGATGTTTGACAGGTAGTCTGAAGCGGTGGTGTAATCAGAAGAGCCAGAGAGCAGAACGAGCTCAGAGATCAGCAGCAACCAACTGGAGAGCGACCGCATCTGACGCCACTCCTCCACTCTTTATAGGCAGGATTGAGTAGCACCTGAGTTTAGGGGAAAAAAATGAAATTAAAAAAAGGGGGCGTGAGTAGCACTGTTCTGTCAGCTTTTCAACTTTCTGAAAAGAAAAAAACAACAAGAAAAAGAGAGTTGATGTGCGGAGTTGTGTGAAGAAAGCCGACTCTGTAGAACTTAAACNGGATTCAAAGCCAAAAAGAATCACCCTCCAGACCAACCTTAACCACTGGCTTATATCGGGGAGTTGTTTACATAAACAATGAACATGTTTCCTGTCCTATCGGGAGTCACGTCCTCTAGATAATGTGACAACCCTCCATATGCGATTTTAATCTGATTACTCTAATCATAAATCTGCAAGGTTTCAATACCCAGATAAAACGTTTGACCTGGAGACTCCTATCATAAACCGACTATGTGGAACATCAGATACCACAGATCAAACAAAACCGAGCAGTCAGAGGCTTGAACTGACTGGGACTTGAACTGACTGGGACTTGAACTATGGACCCTTTAAACGGTTGAATGAATTGCTGCCGCACTGTCCTGCACCTTAAGACGGAACACAAACTGCTGACATGCCAACACTCATGGCTGCAGACAGCTACACCAGACAAGACTGAAACCATTTTAGAATGTAAAGATTTAACATCTACTGACGGTGTGTATTTAAATGATGGTGCATGGTGTGTTTATGCTGAAATCCTTAGTTTTTAATGTTGTACTAATGTTATTTTGTATATGCATGAGAACTGTGTTGTCATAGCTTCAGTGTGCTCTTAACACAAAGTTTGGTTTTGTATTTGCTTGATTACTTGTGATGGTCCAACTGTATTTTTTCAGAAGCTATGACTTCAGCTCAGCAGCTGCTCCAGTCTCAGAGAGACTTACTGCTGAAGTGGACTTGTGACCATCCGGCACCGTTGCTGCGTTGGCTGCGTGATGAAGAGGTGCTTTCCTCTGCCTGCTACCTATCTCTGCTGGAGAGGACGCCTTCCAACGCCGTGGTCCAGGTCCTGGAGACGGTGTGCGCCACTGAGAAGAGCAGTCAACAGTTCCTGCTGGTGCTGAAGGACGTGCAGGATTATTACTGCAGAGATCTGCAGCTCTGGGTTGAGAGACACTGCAGGAACGGTGCCATCAGTGAGCCAGTTCCTGCACCTGTTAAAGGTGAGGTTGCTTTAATATGCTGCTGACAACTGTCTTGTAGTGTTTTATATAAACCGGTTCATTAACAGCTAAAGAAAAGGAGAATGATGTTACTTTGCAACCTTGAGCACAAAGTGAAGAAAAAGGCACAAAAAACAAATTTAATTGCCTGCTGAATAACAGACGTGTGGCGACAGCGTTAGTAGGGGACGATCAGCAAAACAATCGGCTGACTGGCAATGATGCTGTTTTAATGCATAAAGAATATTTAGCTCAGTTGTCATTAGTTAAAATTTTAGTCTTGCTCGCGATATGGCTCTTGGGATGATAATATGTGTTCATCAGTCAGTCCACGACTTTGGTCCAGACTGAAATATCTCAACATTTACAGGATGGACTGTCGTAAAATGTTGTACAGAAAGTGACTACGACTGACTTTGTGGATGCTTTGAATATCTGGTACAAATATGAATGGTTCCCACACGATCAAACCCTATGACATGAAAACGCTCAGACAACACAGAAACCTGTGAATGTGACCCCTAATGAAGGTGCATGGTATGTTAGCGAACTCAAACTGACTTTTGATGCATTATCTGATATATTTAATACACAACTCCTGTGATATTTACAGAAAAGCAGACGAAAGGCCCCATTGCTAAATTGTTTAAAGGAAAGAGCAAAGGATTCTCCATCAGTCCTGAGGTTAAAGGTAGGAATTTATCATCTTATCTAAAACTTGATTTAAAATACTATACAACACTTCTGATGTGACTTCTTACCAGTGATGTATAATACATAGGCATGTACCATATAACTTTTCAATAACTTGTTCCCATGCTTGTTTTAATTATTATTTTCATATTGCAGCTAAAGAAGAAGTAAAACCCGGCAGGAATCGAGTGTTGGCGAACATTAAAGGTATGCCAGCAAAGATGAACTGAAGCAGAGAAGTATCTGGCAAACTCATCAGTGATGTTTTCTTGTTCAATATTTCCCTTCTAGTTCCAATTTCTGCCCATAAAACAACCCTGCTGAAACGCACCGAGCAGCTACGATGTTACTCAGAGGGCAACAGAGTGGCTTCAAACTCAGCTTCTCACATCGAAATCCGCTACACTGACCTCTTCGTGACAGAAGATAATGACTTAGTCGACAGCAGCCAACACGAATACTTTGACTTGTCGAGGAGACGAGCTCGCATCTATGACCACCAGAGCTGCCAGCGCATCCGGCCTTGTCATCTGTTTAGCCCCCAGGGACCGTCGGAGCGGCCCCCAAAAAGGGTTAAAGTCAAGGGTATTGCTGGTATTGGAAAAAGTGTAGCAGTACAGAGGCTGGTCTATGAGTGGGCAATTGGGAAGAATATGCGTGAATTCACCTGCATTTTTGACCTGCGCTTCCGGGAGCTCAATCTGATTAAAGCCCCGCTGAGTTTATTGGAGCTGCTTGGAGAACGGTTCCGGTACCTGAAGGAAGCTCTGCCTGATCTTTTCACCTCACCAAGCTCTTTGCTCTTCATCTTGGATGGTTTAGATGAGTTTAAATTCCCCTTGGACTGGAACAGTCCAGACAACAACATTGATTTGAGCACAAAGGTGCCAGTTTCAGAGCTAATGGCGGCTTTGATCAAGGGAAGTCTTCTTCCGGAGGCATCAGTCATCGTCACGACAAGGCCGTCTACTTTCGCACCCAAACGTTTCTTCCAGAGATGTTGTGTAGTTCTAGGCTTTGAGGAAGACCAGGTGAAAGAATATACGACAAAGTTCTACAAAGAGAGCAAAGTTGCAGCAAAAGTCTATGATTACATCTTGAACAACGACAACCTTTTTGTGCTGTCCTTCATCCCTCTTTACTGCTACATCATCTGTACTGCTATGGCTGAGTTCTTTTGTTCAGGGACTGCAGATGTTGGTGACTCAAAGTCTCTGGAGTTAAACCCACCCAGAACAGTCAGTGAGGTTTATTTCTGCTACTTGTTTACAGCAGTCAAGCACCATGCACTGAAGGGGAGCGCAGATAGAAGCACACCTAGATCTGAGGTTCTCTCTTTAGCCAAGCAACAACTGACAAACCTGGGAAAACTGGCTTATGAAAGTCTTCTTCAGAGGAAGATAATGTTTGTCAGAGCGGATCTGGAGAACTACGGTGTTACACCTGTTGATGTTCAGAGCACCTTTCTCTGTCACATCCTCCAGCCTCTCAAAGAGGAGACAGTGGAGATGTTTTCATTCTTTCACTTGACAGTTCAAGAACATCTGGCTGCCCTCTACTGTGCCATCAACCTCTCCAGCCAGGATGAAGTAATCCAAGCTCTTGATTTCTGGTGCTTTGGGAGACATCCGGTATCCTCCGTTGCTGCACCTCTGCAAAACATTGATCTCAACATTGACAAACTGGAGAGCCTCCAAATGTTCACACGCTTCTTCATGGGAATGCTTCGAGCACGGCTGGCAGGAGATTTAGATGGCCTTGTTCATTCCCAGTTGCAGCAAGGGGACGGCCTCCCCACTAGGCTGGGTTTGTGGGTCCAAGATCAGTTTAAAGGCAGAAAGCTGGAAAACCTTACAGCTCTGAATCTTCTCCACTGCCTCATGGAGTTCCACATGAAGGAAACTACCAGCATCGCAGCACCAGAAATCAAGACACTTCACCTGTTTAAAATGAAGCTCAGTGTTGTAGACTGCGCAGCGATGCACTACGTGCTGCAGTTTTCTCCACACAACCTGCAAGAGCTCAACTTGGGCTACTCCAACATTGGAAACAGAGGACTCGACAGACTGGGGCCGATCCTACATCGCTGTGAAACTCTCTAGTGAGTACCTTCTTTTATATTCAACTGTCAAAAAGACTAGAGTAAAAATTTAAGTACTGTGGAATAAAAACATGCGTTGGTTCAAGCTTCCTTGCTAGCAGACGCCTTTCAGTGGGGAGTTTGCATCGTTAGTTTTGTTTGTCTGTATGTCTCACTGTGATAGACTGGTAGCGTCTCCAGGGTGCAACCCGCCTTCTGTCTAATGCATGCTGCTATGGACACAAGTCCTCTTTCAAGTCAAGACTGCCAAAAAACAATGAGGACCCTTTTTTTCTTTTTTAACCATTCTCTTTCAGTTTGAGATACAACTGTCTGGACCAGCATGCAGCTATTTTGGAATCTGCAGTTCTGAAATCAAACGAGTGCCAAGTGAAGAAGCTCTTGTGAGTCATTGCAGATTATTTATTACAACTACTTGCCTTGAAAGATAAGACAGCCACAGAACAGGACTGTCATAAAATGTTTACCTTAGCAGTGCTTGAGGTGACACACTCCAACTAATCATTCACTATGAAAAGTTATTGCCATCATCAAAACATCGTAACAACAATGAATCAAAGATAATGAAGATCAAAGTTTTGTTTCTTTGTCGTGCTCTTGTGCACTTAAACCCCAAGAATCTACTAATCCTCACTAGGGACACCCCAAGAATTACCAAACAAAATGCAAAAAAGACCTACAACTACCAATCTACTTGTAGTAAAATATTACTTTACTTACATATACATGGGCTGCAAGGTGCAAGGTTCGCACTGTTGCCTCGCAGCAGGAAGGTTGCCGGTTCGCGTCCCGGTGAGGACACCTGGGATCTTTCTGCGTGGAGTCTCCATGTTCTCCTCGTGTAGCGTGGGTTCTCTTCAGGTTCTCAGTTGGGATAGACTCCAGCCCCCTGTGACCCTAGTGAGGATGAAGCGGTGCATAGATAATGGATGGATGACATGTATATCATATTTTTGACAGTAAGGTTTGCTAAAAATGACCAGCATGAGACAATACCCTTCCCAACTAGTGTAGATAATAAAGATGATGGTGTGTTGTGAACACCATCATCTTTCCCATTTAAATTAATCATTGACTAAAATACTGCAGAAAAGGATTAAACAGTCTCCTGCAGCATATTTACAGATGTGGCCATCATATTTATAATCTCTAGATGTATAATGTCTCCATGCAGCCTGCAACTGCACAAAACAGTTGTAATTACTGTTAAATCTAAGACCTTTTATTAGCTTCTGAGGTCTTTGTTTCAGGAAAGTGACTCCAGTGCTCTAAAACAATAACTACTACTACAGATACTCTGACCTCCTTTGATACAGGCGCATGCTGAATATGTATCACAACAACACAACTGTTCTTCTCTGGTTTACAGTATGTGTGGCAATAACCTGGGTCCAGAGGGGGTTTTGGAGCTGTGGAACGCTCTGGAGCACAACAACACTGTGGAAGAACTTTATCTGGACATCACCGGCATCACAGAGAGAGGAACAGAAAACATTGTCAACTGCCTCAGCAAAAACACCTCCCTCAAGACACTGACGTAAGACTACAGCACAAGGCCAAGTCTGCTCAGTGTTCTGAGTGTTACAACAGTGCCATCTAGTGTGAGCTACTGCCCTAACCAGCTACTTTCTCCTTCCTCAGCATCGTTGGGAATGACATTGGAGAGACGGGGAGGAGGAGGCTGAGGGAGCTGGAACAACGTAGGCCAGGACTCAGGATTATTGCAAACTTTGTGGATGACCTCGGGTTACTTCAGGCCTACCTGGACTGGGTGGAGGAGATCCAGGCCGACAGAGACCAGATGGACTCGGTGAAGAATGCGGACGCCCTGCAGTCTGTGCTGAAGGGACTCCGGGTGGCGGGAGGAAAGGTGGAGAAAAGAGAGAACGCAGAGAAAGCTGAGGAGCTGCAGGCAAAGATCACGGAGCTGCTGAGGTCTCCTACAGACCTGATGGGAGGAGGGCGACAGTAACCTTCACATCAACCACGATGATGCGCTTAGAGATCCAGGAGGGGCGGCAACAGCTGAAAAAACACACTTAACATTTGTTAATCTCTTGATAGATAGTGACTATAAACTGATGACATGTTTTTGAAAATTACAAAGTATTGTTTCTTCTTGGGGTGTCAGAGAACCTGGATCCAAATCATTGTTAACTTCAATTTTCTTTTAGTCCTGGGGTCTCCAATGCAGGTCCTCGAGAGCCACAGTCCTGCATGTTTGAGATGTTTACCTCTTCCAACACACCTGATTCAGATGATCAGCTCATCATCAAGCTCTGCAGAAGCCTGATAACGATCCTGATCATTTGAAACATGCTGGACTGTGGCTCTCGAAGACCAGGATTGGAGACCCCTGTTTTAGTCTTTGATTGTGACAACACTCTTTATGCAGAAATTGCACTATGTGGAGTAACAGTTATACCAAATGACTTTTTGACAAACCAGTGTAATATGTCCAATTGTTCATGCAAACCCTATGTACCATGTAAACCTGAAATGTTCCCTCAATCTGTTTAACAATCACTTTTTTCTTATTTACAAATTGGGTTTAGATAAGGTCTCAAAAGAAGAAAAAATGATTGAATAATGTAACTATTATTAAACTGAAATAAAGCAAAATTTCTAACACATTTTGCA